CAGCAGCCTCGTGCCACACGTTGAGGTACTCGTGGGTCAGGTTCAGGGCCCTCTTGGGGTTCTGCTTGACACTCCAGTGGAGGGTCTTGACACCCTTGCCACCCTCGCCATCGGCAGCATCCTTGAGGAACTGGAGTTCTGCGCGACGGAATCCGAGCTGCTTCATGAAGATGGATGCATCGGAGATGGTGAGCTCGAGAGGCTTGAAGCCGCGGTCGAAGCGGGAGTTCTCAACAGCTGGGAACTTGAGGATCTGGGACCAGGTCAAGTTGTTGCCCTTGACGAAGCCAGCGTTGAAGAGGGTGTTGGTAGCAGCGGTATCGAACGACTCGAGAGTGGCGTTGAGAGGGACACGGCCATCGAAAACGATGGGGCACTTGGGAACAGCGCCGCCCGAGGCGGGGGCAGCAAGAGCAGCAGAGGCCGCTAGGGCGATGGAAAAGAGTGTCTGGGTGAACATGATGATTGCTGAGAAGAGAAGTGTCGTCGAGACTGTGGATGCAGTTGGTGTTGTGGAGACAGTTTCACTAGGCTGAGCTGAGCTTTATAGCAGTCGGTGGAATACCAAGCTATGTTGCAATTATCCTAGTGAATACACTTTTACCTTTGATATTGCCTGTAAGCACAGCATGCGTCCGCCACGGCGCCTTTTGCTCGCCGAAATAGAGGGTTTCATTGTACCTTTCATCTGCAAGTAGTCGACTCAACGGAATGGCTAGCCTATGAAGACAGGGGACTCATGCACCTTACGCGTTCCACAGTAGGTCCGGCGACGTCAGAGTAGCGCCGCATTAATATGGGAAGGGTGAACCCTCGCCTTAACCATGGCTTGTCACTGGGCTGTGGGGTAAAATCGACACCATTTAGTAGGTAGTTTGGAGTGCACTGACAAGCGGTCCGGCCACCCGCTGCTTGGGGCCAAGGCTTTCGAGAAGCCGATTTAATATCGACTAACGTGTATACGTAGTGTACGGGTGGAGATGAAGATGAAGCACTGCTCTGCGCAGGTGACCGTGATTGTGGAGAGGACAATTCCTGCGCGTTGCTTGTTACTCCTGCGCATGAGCTTAGCCGTATCTGTGTACTAAATGTAACAGCATGCGTTCTATTCCTGCCCTTGACACACTGGATTCCTCATCGGCTTGGTCCGAGTATCCTGGACTGGGCCTGCTCCGCCAGGCAAAATTATCGACGGAACTTCCGAATAGCACCGTAAAACACGCCAGCGTCGCCAAGAGCAAGCAAGGGCAAGCAAGGGCCGCGAACACGACCGAGCGCTTCGTTCAGTGAGAGTGACAAGCCGTTCGACGAACGGGATGTGCGTTGGGTGCGTTGGGTGCGATTGCTGACGATGTCACCCGTCAGTACAGCAGGGAAGCCGTCATATGGCTTCCGGATGCAAAAGTTTCCACACGTCCCGCTGCTCCAAATGGGAGAGAGGCCCGCGCTCCGAGTTCCAACTTGTGTGCCGCTAACCGTTCGCAGTCGCGGCCTCATGGTCACAAAACTCTACTAGGACCCCAAAGCGTGGGCGGCAGCTGGATTACCTGGCGTATACCAGCTTATACTTAGTCGAGCTACATTGGTCTTCTACTACTTGATGTGATCCGGACAAGAGCGGATTCTAGATTGCGCCAAGGAGAGCAGGTGGTCAAGCCGTCTTCAATACATGCTCATCCATGCGTCCCCAATCTCGATCTTCACAACAACATGTCCTGATTGCCGTCTTTGTCCCAGTCATAAGGCGGTATCGTGTTCCGCCAACGCGCTGCTTACCGTGCTTCGCATACCCAAATCAGGTGCCAACCTAAAACGCCATGCATGAACGTGCTGATAAGCAACCGCAAACGCCTCCCTATACACGGCCTGAACATTATGTACTCCATGTCCTCGGTACACTCCGTCGTCCAGTCTAACCTGCCTTTGGGGTAAGCCAGGTGGCTTCCTCACAGCCTGCGTAGAATTCTCGTTGTCCGTTTTCTGCCTCAACTCCAAATCCCATTGCGCGCAGCTTTGCAGTATCCCAACCACTGACGAATTCACCCTGTCCACCATTCTCTCGATCTACCGCGTCTCCGAGCTTGATGTAGTCGGCATGGCGGCAGACCGTCTGCGAATATGACCATTGTAAACAATTGTTGTCATTGGCGCATTCAGAACCACAAGAACCGGCGTTGTGGTGCGCAGGGCGGTCGTTGGGGACGGGTGCAGTCGAGAGATTGTCCCACCATTCGCGGCTGGGACCTTGGGAAAGGAAGGCATGTGTATACGAGAGGAACGATGAGTAGGTAAACGGTTTCTGTGACCATCATGTTAGCAGAGTGCATCAGCGCGCACGGGACACAAGACTCACAGTGTTGTATGGCCGGGTCCGCTCCCACTTCCAAAGATCTTCCATCTGCTGCGGCTTGACCTGGTGCAGCGAGAGCATGGGGACACACCACCTTTCCTTTGTAGTGACGACATCCTTGATCTTATCGCTTGCAAACGTGGGGTGCATGGGCGCTATCCTATGTCCTGTCGCGTTCTGAATGGCATAGGCTAGCACAGCGTCACCGCGCTGCTCTTCCTTGACCCAGTTCTCATATCGAACGCTCAGGCGATTTTCGCGCGGGATTTCTGTCGATCCAACCGTTTTGGCAGGGATGAGTTTCTTTACCAGCCCCTGTGAGAGGACGATGCCCGCCCCGCCGTAGGCGAATTGCCGGCCTTCAGAGCCCTTGTGCGGTTCGCCCATGTAATGAGGCTCAGAGGGGTCCAGCTGGCTTAACAGCCGGAATAGCGTGTCCCAGAAAAAGTAGACGTCTGACTCGACAAAGACAAACCACTTAGCCGTTGGGTTGGTGATGTACGCCTTGTCGACCATGGGCAGGTACTTGAAGCGGTCGAGCTTAAACGACCGCTGTTGTCCCTTGACTGTCTCGCCCCCTTCGTGTGCCTTCTTCTGCGCGACATAAGCCTCGAAATCGAGGTTGTCCTTTTGGTAGCTCTTAGGCAGCTCCGCTAGAATATCAATGACTTGTCGGTCGCCTAGTCGCTCGTCCCTATCGCCGACTATGATCAGATTGGTGATGCAGCTCGAGACCGTGTTGAGGTGCGCTTTTGTTTCGTGTGCGCCGTCCGAGGCCACCTTGAGTACGACCTGCACTTCTTCGAGCAGCTTGGTTGGGAAATTCTTGCAGTAGTCGAGCTCAATCGAGTTGGCGGCTTTTGTCTCCAGAGGCGGAAAAAACGACTTGGTCTTGGCCTTGTGTACGGGCCCCTGTGTACGTGACCCTGTACGGTGCGAGAGAGAGTAAAAGAAGAAGAAGAATAGGAGGCCAGGGAAGACAAATCTCCATGGCCGTCGCGCCAGGCGGCCAACCACTGTTCTCAGCATCCTGTTATCGCTATGGCCCCCTCAAGGCACCGTTGTCGCGGGGGGTAAGAGATGGCGGTCAATGAACAAGACAGAGGGGCTGGATTATGACGTAGGGCGGGCGCTGGATGGGCGGGCGACGTCGCCGTGGCACATTGGACGGCCCTTTGGTCTGTGGTGGTGGTAGGAGTGGTGTATGTAGTTGCAGGCAGCGTTGAGGGCGCATTGGTCCACCCGTCGGTTGTCGTCCTGCGCCAGTCCAGCCCGGCTCCCTGAGTCTGTCAGGCCCAACACGCGAGTGCCTAGTCCACAAGCGGTAAGGCCGCCGGCGCTAATTCCTTCCCCACGTCTCCCGCTGCTGCTCAACATCAACCACAGGGGCCTTGTAGAGAGCATCTCTTTATAGGATCATACACGCGTACGTGGCCTAGGGTGACGTCGACTTGGTGGGGGATACCCCTGTTCTGTAGAGATGACCCCCTGTGATAAGATAACAAGCCGACAAGATACCCGCCCATTGCTGATGTAAGAATACTCGACAACCATGACTGAAGTATGTATTGAGGAAGTAAATGGGGACATGAGCATGCAAGAGAGAGAGTTGTACTGGTTGCGGCGGTTGCTTTCATATCAAATATTTGCAAAAAAAAACTCCAAAGATATAGAAATCGTCATTGGAGATGATGGAAGTTCATTGCATCAGTGGATTATTGCTCTGCAGATACTGATGTTTCGCTATAGTTGTATCGAAACAACCGATGGTCTACATGATTAGAGATCTTGATACGCCTTAAGGTCGGGTTTACAACACCAATGAAGGGAGAAGCCGCAGCAGAATATGCCAACCTCGGTAAGACGTGAAGAATGAGAAGAAAAATTGTAGAGAGCCCACCAACTCCATAATATTACCAAGTAGTATAAAAGATCATGATGAAAGAAAAATAGTTACGGGAAACTGGAATCAGGATGCAGTCGAGAACGTTAACGAACCAAACAAATCATCCGACACACATGAACATGGATCCGTTCAACTCAATTATCTTGTTTTAGCAATCTCAAATATGTTCTCTCAAATTCCTGGAAATTTTCCAAATGAGATAAGAAAGTAGATGTGTGGTTTGAAAAGTGTATTAGACTAAATACATAAACTCCATAGCACCAGGAATCATCCTACACCACGATATGAGCAGCTACCTAGACCATGCACAAGTATATCATTTCGAAAATCTGTCTGAGCTAGCAGTATCTTGGACGGTAAGGTGTACGGATGCCGTACTTCATTTCTGGGGCACCTGAATGTGAAGTACTGCCCATCCATCTTCAGACTAGAAGTGAACTCTAGAAATAACACTGAAATCACATCAAAGTTAATCTCAATAGTAAGATCCGACGACACCTCTTTCTCCCAAACATGTTAGAAATAGGCTAAATGTTCAATATCAATGACGAAATATGCGCCATGTAGCTCTTGTTGTTTTGTAAGCACCTTCGGCTATTCCTGCCGGCCCTGTGCCTTCCCCGCTTCCATGAGCGACATCACCACTCCCATTCCGTATACATAACAGCAGTGGTTCTCTTTCTTGTTCATTTTAAAGAAAAGAATTTTCCCTCCAAGACAACTCGCGCTGCTTCAAACCCAGCAATGGCTTCTCCCACCGCTGAGTAACGTCACCTAAACACGCACTACGATTGATCACGACTAACGAATATAGTTTGGTAAAGCTAGCTCAAAAGCTTATTCGCGACGGACCAAAAAGGATCGAGCCAACATCTCGACGCATCCGCGGTCTTTTCAACGGCAAATATGTGTTCGATACAACCAATGCACGTTACGTGTGGGAAGTTGACCTACGATACCCACAGTACACCTCCCAGCACCCTCTTCCACCCAGAAGACTACACTCAACTAACTCAGTCAAGATACTACATACCCTACTTAGACTTCACCACCAGAGACGCAAAACTGTTTGCGGGCGAAGTTATCAACTACACCTCCGGCGCCGCACACCTCTACAAGCTAACCAGCGGCACGCGGAGCACAAACCGCCTTCTCGTCTTTCACTCCGGCCCACTCCAAGACCTCATCAAGGTAGATTTCTCCGCCATAGATCAGTGGTTCGAAGAAGACACGCGGATATACTGCCACCCCAAGGACCCTTACAAACGCATCGACATCTTGCCTTCTTCCCGCAGCGTCAAATTGGCGCTCGACGGCGTCACGCTGGCTGAGACCACCAGTGCACTGTTCCTATTGGAAACGACGCTGAGAACACGGTACTATGTCCCTCCTACAAGCATCAACTGGGAGTATCTGACGCCCAGTGATACGACGACGCTGTGTCCATACAAGGGGCAGGCAGAGTACTATCATGTTAATGTGAATGGGAAAGTATACAAAGATTTGGTGTGGTATTATCGGTATCCGACCATTGAAAGTGCGCTGATTGCGGGGTATTTGTGCTTTTACAATGAGGGGGTGGATGTATGGGTTGATGGGGTCAAGGAAGAGCGGTAGTAGTTAAAAAGAGTCAGGGTGAAGGGTTCAAGGCGCCGTGGAGAGAGAGAGGGGGGGAGGAGCGCCGAGTTGATTTGTGGGTGAGTGGTGGATTGGATCAAGGGTCTTCTGGGGAAGATGGTTGGCAATGTGATCGTCGCCATTACCATTACCCATATATGGGCTTTCAACAGAAAGTCTGGATAAAAGGGATAAAGGGATTTCCAGGGTAATCTACGTACGACCAAACCCGTATAACTTTCTTCTCGCCTTTGGGGGAAAACTAACATCTCTTTTTTTTTCCTTTCATGAATATATCGGACGATCTGGTTTTTTTATATTTTCTAGAAACTCTATTTTTGATTGGACGGTCATTTGACAATATATTTGGCACATGCTAAACGTCTTGTCTTTGTCATCGTTCAAATGTTAATTTGTGGTCCTGAGGAGTCAAAGTCATGTCAGTCATGTCCCGCTGCTATTATTTGCGTTTACCAAGGCATGAGCCGATAGCCGATGCAACTTGAAACACGGTTCGGTGTCTGGGGAGGGCTTGGGGGTAGCGATGTCGATGGCAAAATTCATCTATCTATGACCGTGTTGGGCAATTATCTTTGGCGGACTATCCTCGCTTGTCGTCATGGAGAGAATATTCGTGTGGCCAAAGCTAATTTTGGGGGTAGAGGACGGCGTCATACTTAGCCAACTGCTGTTGGGAAGTATGTGCTTTTTCATGCTAGACGGTTGGGACTTGAGCCCTGTGTTGGGTGTGCACTGCAGGGCTCGAGAGATTGTTGCTGCTTTTTCCCTCTGCGGTATGATGATGCTGGCGGTGGGAGCGTGCGATGAACCATGGATTGCAGATGGGAGATGGCCTTGGAAGGGGTCGCCGTATCGAGAGAAGCAAGCATTAGTTGGCCAGCCTTGAGTCGCATCCTGGCCTTACTCCAGCACAGCCGCTATTGAGAGATTGGGATGGAGCCGCTCTTGGCAATACGCTAGCTCCTTTGGGCAACGGCGGAGAAGGACGAAACATGCAGAGCCGGGCTGGATGCGCCATTTGGCTGACTCGCCTTGGCAGGGGGAGCGGAAGAAGATTGCTCGGTCAGCGACGTATTGCTCGTCGACAATACGGTGCCATTGCGCAGACGACGCAAGAGACGGATTTCGACAGAGGCAGGCAGCTGGTCGCGCGCACGCAGCCGACAGAGCTGACGGCTGGCTCGGCGGGTGCCGTGGCAAGACGGGAGAGGCGCGGGTCTGGCCTATTGTGCTGTTTGTGTTGATGAGGACGACTTGCAGCAGCACACCATTATCGTCGGCAGATTGCACCACTTGGGGGAAAACGCTATATCGACGTATGCTTTATGCGCTATCCCCGCTCCGCCTGGTACCGGCAATGCGCTGGTCTGTCAGGCGACCATTGTATTGTCTGCGGGTCCGACAGGTGCACCAAACGCCCACCACCCTGCCGGGCACAGGCACCGTTGCTTCCGCAGAGACGAGGCCGTTTGGACATAGCACATACCCAAATCTCACGTGTTGTTACCGGAGCAGGTCGAAGAAGAAAAAAGAAAGGAAATAGTAATTAGAATGCCACCATGCGTCTCGCCATCGGTAGCCCCCCGTTGTGCGCTCTCGCACAACATCCCAACCGAACGGTCATGGCCAAGTCTTTCCGCTCGCCGCTGTTCAAAGCCAAGGTATGGCTTCTCGTATCTTTGCAATGACTAAAGTAGAGAACAGATATGGATGGTTTCAGCCATGGCCATCGTATCCGGGGCCGGCCAGCAGTCTGTCGGGAAGTCGAGAACGCCATGATGGAGCATTTCCATCGCCATGTGCTTTGGACAAGACAAGGTCGTACCGTTGAGACGCCGTCACATAGGTACAAGTGTAAGTATACCACTCGGATGACGGCGCTCTGGATGGCCATGTAGACTGCGCATGTATGCAAAAGTGACATCGATGCTGTGCCCCACAAACGCCCAGCGAACAATAGGTACATGGCGTCCACATCCGTACGCCCCAGTCCCGCATCGCAGCCTACCGCGAGCGCCCATACGTCCGTCCCATGCATGATCTGCATTCGCCTAGAAAAAGCCTACCCGAAATAGCTCGTGCCGTTCCTCCTACGCCAGGGCTGCCCAGGAAAGGGCTTGCATGCCCAGCTCGCTAGTCCAATCTCTGCTACCGCCATGTCGGAGCCGAAAATATATGTATAGGAGCCTCGCGCCGAAAGTGATCTTCCCGAGTTATCGTCTGCTCTCATTGCCCTTCCTTCAATCCCAAGGGCATCGCGACTCCCCGTCCTTGGAAGTCCTTGACTTCTGTACATTCGCTTTTGCACCACACTCGCTTACCTTTCCCAATCATGCATCTTACTACATTAATAGGCCTCGCGGCCGGACTTGCTACCCACGCTGTTAATGCAGCCTGCAGCGGACCCCTCTCGATTGACGACTTCTCAAAGTGGTCTTCTAAGCAGAACAGCTTGGGCACCTGGACCAGCGGTTCGTTTTGATTTTGCCCCCAAAAAATAATCCACACATTTACTCATTCCCGCAGATGATTCTTCCATGCCCTCAATCTCAGCCGCCAACGGTGTGCTCTCCTTCAAGCCCAACGCCACTTCCTACTTCTACGAGACTCTCCCATGCCAGGCTGCCTCTTCCAATGGATACAACTCCATCACATTCCAGATCAAGGGCCCCGCCCAAGGCTCTGCAACCCTGGAGATCCAGACCAAGGGCAGCTGCTCCGACGCTGCATACTCGTCCAAGTGGGTTACTCTGACTGGCCTGACCGGAAACACCCAGACCATTACCATCCCTCTGACTCAGTTCTCTGGTGCCAATACCAATGCCATCACTGGATTTGTCTGGTCTACATTTTCTTCCTCTTCCACCACATGGCAAATCAGCAAGATTGCCTTTGGGTGCAGCTCGACCGGAGGCAACCCCACCTCGACGAGCGCGACCCGCACTACCATGCAGACTGTCCCCGTCCCCACTGCTACTGGCACCTGCGCCCCCTTGGTAATTGATGACTGGGTTTCCCAATCCCGTTTGACTTTCCTGTTCTACAACGCCATGGGATCTCCTACCTCTGACGATAGCACTATGACCTCCATCACCGTTGGAAAGCCTGCCAAAAACCGTGTTGAGTTTGTTCCCAAGGATGGCTCCTACTTCTACAGCCAGTTCCGTTGTGTTGATGCCCAGGCCAAGGGATACAATGGCATTTCTCTCCGTATCAAGGCTCCCCAGGGCGCTTCGCTCAACATCCAGCTCGATTCTTCAGACGACTGCGACCCGACCAAGGCCAAGTCGTTCTATGCTTCCTCCAAGGATCTCGGCTGGCAGTTCGACGGCTCCGAGAAACTGTACACCATTCCCTTCGGCAAGTTCTCTGGTCTCAACATTGCCAAGCTTACCACCGTCCTTTTCTCTGGCTACACTGGTACCACTTCGTTTGGCCCCATGGCATTCTACTGTGGCAACTCTGGAGAGTACATTCCTCCACCTACTCCTTCAGACTCTGGTTCTACTGCCACTGTTCCTGCACCCAGCAATGCTGCTGCCACTGGCCTCGTCATCGACAGGTTCGCCAATGCCAACACCAATGCCATGGGTAACTGGCACGGCGGTGACGAGGGCATGACTCTCAAATACGCAAGCAACAAGCTCACCATCACCTCGCCTGATGCTGACTATGCCTTCTACACTCAGGTGTCCGGTGGATGCTCCGACTTCACCAAGTACAAGGGTTCTTACCTTCACATTGCTTACTCTGGTACCACCGACTTCACTGTCGCCTTCCAGCAGCACAACAGCAAGTGTGACTCCGCTATTGCCCCTTACCCTGAGACCTGGGACTCTGCTGAGGCCAAGCGCTATGCTAGCAACGGTCACATCTACATTCCCATCAACCACTTCAACATCAACCTCAGCCGTGTTGTCGGTTTCGCCCTCAAGGGTTTCCACACCAAGGAGTCCGTCACTCTCTCCCTCATTGAGATTGTGTCGTCCGTTCCATCCACTGTCAAGATCCCCAGCAAGGATGAGACTGGTAACCTTGTTTTCGCCTGCAAGCGCCCCAACTCCTTTGCCTTCGCCATTGACGACGGTCAGCCTGACCTCGCCCAAGAGGTCCTCAAGATCATCCGCGAGGAAAACATTAAGGTCACCTTCTTCACCGTCGGCGCACCTCTTCTCGATGACTCCACCAATCTGACCAACGTCTACAAGGAGATGAGCGCCGCCGGCCACCAGCTCGCCCTCCACTCCTTCACCCACCCCAAGATGGAGGGCCTCCCCGACTACGCTTCCATCGACTGGGAGTACAATGAGGACGTCAAGGCCATGAAGTCGCAATTCAACGGCTACCAATCCAAGTACTTCCGTCCCCCCTTCGGTAACGAGGGTGCCCGCATGCGCTCGCGTCTCACAAAGGCCGTCGGCAAGGACGCCCACATTGTCAACTGGAGCGTCGACGTCGAGGACTGGCTGTGGGCCGAGACCGACACCCCCGAGCAGCAGAAGGTCGCCTTCCAGCGTGACGTCAACAAGGGTGGCAACTTGGTCGTGCTGCACTACCTTTACCCCAGCACTGTCAGCTACCTGAGGGAGTTCATCCAGATTGCGAAGAAGACTGGAAAGCAGCTTATGCGTGTAGACCAGTGCATGATGGATCCTAATGCGCCCCCATTGTAGATGAGAGAAACTAGGCAGAAGTGTATTTTGGTTTTTTCTTCTCCTTTTTTTTTCTTGTAGTATCTTGGCTTGTTAGAGGAGGTGGGGGAGGATGTTCACGACTGTTTGTTAATGCGGATGAAGCAAAAGTCATGTTTGTAGATAATCCATCCCGAGACTTTGTGCATGTATTAAAGATGAAAGAGGCCTCGATAATTGTCAATATGAATCTTTGGACCAATGTTTTTCGTTCGATGGGGGTTTCGAGACTGCGATCCTGTGTGGGCTTTGGTTGGTGAGACGAGGTATCGAGAGGGTAGAAGGACTTCCTTCACAACCATGGCCTTGACGCACCTCAAGTGCTTTTGTCCTCGTTGACTCTCGTGACTGCACCACTAACCGCAAAGACAGCGGAGGTGGGAAGGTAGGTCAAGCAAGAAAAAAGTTTCATGTTGGCGATGTTCGAAAGGAGCTTTGTAGAGTCCGGCTTCTGATATTCTTTTATGAAGGTAGAGCTGATAGTGGTTGTTTCTGCTTCGACCCGGATTCTGTGAATGGGCTGAGATGCCAGCCATTGAGGAGCTATGCAAAGGGGCTGTTCAGCACCGTCACAGCAAACGATTCAAATTGGGTGATGATAATCTTTTACTGTTTTAAACAAAGCTTTTGGTAATGTAATTACTTAGTCGGGTGAGCTTTAACTCATTGTGAAAAGAGAATTCCATGCACCGAATATTCTCCTGGTCATTCTATAGAGGTAATCAAGGGAGGTGGGTTGACAGGATCGTGAGCATGGAAAGCGTTCTTCGAAGAGCAACTAAGGTCCCCAATACATGATTTCTCCCGGATTTGCATTGACATTGGCTCAAACAACTGATTGAAATAAGGATATTAATTGGTGACAAAAGTAAGCTGGATTCCGAACACATGTATTATGCAGCCTAAGTAACCAGTACGTAACGAGACAACGAAACATGACCACGCGAATCCGACCCCCCCCCCCCCCCCCCCCCGCCCTGCTGTCGCGCACTGCTTCCTCTCATGACTGGTGAGACCCCCCCCCCCCCCCCAAGAGTCTGATTTCTGGGATACCAAGAAAAGAAAATAGCACACTGGATGAAACGAGGGATTTGGGTCGGTCCGAGGAGGAAGGGGGTTTTGTAGGATAATGACAGTACTGGCTATCGGGATACAATAGGGATTGGCATACGCGACTTATTCTTTGCCAGCTGTGGTTTTTCCTACTTGTATGCTTCGTTGCTGACTTGACTATTACACCGACGTAGCTCCGTCAAAGTCCGTGACCCCGGAGTTCCGGCGAACTCAGGATTTGGGTGTAGGAACTCTGGATGTTCCAAGGAATGTTTTTCACGGAATCAGGGCTGCTAGTTTGAGAAGGGGACTGTAGTGTTGGAGATTGGAGGTGCGAGATATGATGCGTTCGGAGGATGGAATTGTTGTCGGGGTGTTCAGACTGTGTCGCTCGTGCGTTTGTTTGGGAGTTATTGGAAAGTCTTTGGCTCCTAATTTTGATCTTTTGTGGTGGCTCTTTCGAAATCGTAGCATGTGGAATACTTGCTTCCTTTCTTTGTACGCTTGATTGCTTGTACATAAAGGAGATGCCGCAATGTAACCTTTTTACTGCATGTAAGACTTACTCTTGGTTCAGTACATATGTAACTACCGACTGCTGCATGGGGTGGGGGAGGCGGGAGCTGCTGACATCCACGGAGCAGGTAGGTAATATCTGCTGACGTTCGGAAAGTGGGGGAGCAGGGATTTTGCAGGGATAAATTGGGGAAGCGGTCTGAAATTACCCTAGCATTTGTGATGCGAATGGCTTGTATTCCTGGGTTCCGGGATTCCGGGCAGCGGGATGGAGCGGACGTGCGATGGGGTTCGGAAGTGATGTTTTTGGCCGGGGTTAGTAGATGATGAAGATTTTGATTATTCGGGAAGAATTGAATTGAGATTACTGAGGAGAAGCGTGTATTGGATTCTAAGAGGAACACGGATTCGGCTATGTTGAAGGAAGCCACGGGTCTTATTCTGGTCTCGTGATAGTGGAGCACAGCTTTCTGATAGATTTCCACACTGCATTCGTTGCTGCAGTTTTGATGAGGGTGTATATTGTACTGTACGCACTTTTTCGTTCTTGGCCCAAATCACCGTAGGCGTAGATTTGTTCAAGATGAGAGGTATCTGACATATAATCCCCTGACCTGGTTTCCTTTTTTTCAACTGTTGTGGTTTTCGCCAGCTAATTTAGTTTTCTGGATGGAATGGATTGTCATGAATGCATGTTGTGACAGAATGCGTCATTAATGCCGTGGTGTGATGCTTGGGGGCGAAGAATATTTCAATGTGTGATATAATATCTGTGACGAATTCCCTGTGTCAAGGTCATTTCTATGGAAGATGCGAGCTGACCGTGGCCTCAATTAAGTCGATGTGCATACTGTGCATACTGTCAGTATGTCACGTGAAAGGGAAAAGGGGATTTGCTGTGGCAGTCGATTTTGTATGTAAGAATGATTGGTATCCTGTTTAGGCATAGCGCCTTGGCAAAGGTCACGCGATCAGGGACTGCACCAGAGACTATCATCACAGGGTGACAGGCCACCTTGTACATGCACAATGCACCGTCTAATTTCAATACCTGGCCGACCAGCAGTCATTCAGTATTCGCGGTGCCAACGGAATTTCTTCTTTAGTTTTGCTTTGCATGCTAATCGATCTGCGCCTCCAAATTAGTGTGCTACGAAATACGCACCTTTCTTGTTCCTGCTGATCACTGCGTTGGATTACCTTCCCAGTCTTTCCAGGATGAGAGAGAAAAGGCCAGTCGAGATAGAAGGACGAAGGGCTTCGTGTCCCGATGCAGTATTGTCTCTTGAATGATTACCTATATACGTATTGTCGGCGCCGAGAGCAAATCGAAAATGGTCGGGGGGGGGCGTAAGATTAGGTTAGCGGCAGGTGGGGACAGGACTCCTTCCAGAAGGCATGTGGGTCAGGCTTGGCGGACGGGGGACAGGGAGTGGGAGACGTCGGAGGCGTGGGAACCTGGCATTCTGGATTCTGACGTGCATCGCAGCAGGATATCACAGAGGTATTCTACAGCCCCGCGACCACTCTGGACGAAGCTTTCCTGCGACTGGCAGTGCCAAAATCGCCGTCTCCTCTGTCTGCCTTCGGATCGTCCGTTCCATCCGCTCCCGCGAGCTAGCCCACCCGTCCCGAATCCACTGCCGCCACGCACTTTCACGCTCGCCCACGACGCCCTCGATGCCATCCCTCTCGTAGCCCTGCGTTTCCCTCGATTATGTTCGCCCGCACGAGGCTCCTGATCCCTCAGCACATGGCGTGCACTCGCGACCAAATATCCCAATAACACTCGAGCCGGTCAATGGCCCCCGGCTGAAGAACCACAATGGCCCTACCCACTCTTCAGTTCCTTGCGGGGCTCCTGCTTCTGATATACCTTCTCTCCTTTGTTCTTTTCGCCTTTATACGCATCGCCACGGGCGTCTCTATCCAACGGCTAGGCCTCAGAGGCTTGCGACGCATCGCTTTTACCCCCAAGGATGGTCTGCGCATCGAGATTCGTGGCTTCGGCTTTAGCCTCCACCGGCCCACCTTTGCCCAGCCAACCATTGCCAGCATCGTCCTGGACGAGTTCAAAGTGACTGTTGACCTGAAAGCGCTTGGTGAGAGGCCACGGAAGAGGGCGGGTTGGACACAGTGGACCAACGGGACTACGAACACGGGCAAGACCAGCCACCCCCCCTCCGACGAAGCCACCCCTGGCCATACGACCGATGACGAGATACCAAGAAGCCAGACGTGGAAGCGGTTGATGGATGCCAAAGAGAAGATCAAGCGCCTGCATCGCAATATTCATTGGCTGTGCCAGGTTGATTTGGTAGCCAATGCATCCTCTCTTGTCATTGTCGACGTGGGATCGGTACACGTTGGGGGCTTGCACTTGGCTGTCGACACTCGGCGCAAGACTGTCGACCGCAATAGGCTCTTCAACCACCACAAAGCCAAGCCCGATCAAGAACAAAGACCCGCCGAGTGGCTATTGACTGCTCGCAGTATACTCTTTACGCCCGAGGGTAGAGAATCAACAGAGTTGCTTGATAGCTTCACGCTGAACATCCATGGCTTCCTTAAGAAGGAGCTTGAAGGACTGCGTGATGCCTCCATTGCTCTCAAACTCGGCCGTCTCAACATCCCGTGCGACGATATTAAGCTGTGCGTGGATAGAGCCCAAAAGTGCCGCGCCACTACCGCCCAGAAGCCGTCCCGCGTCAGTCCAACAGACACTCCCCTCACGCATGTTGCCGAAGAAAATGATCACCCTGGCAACCGCGAAGAACCGCTGGCTCGTACCGTTTCAGACTCTCGTGAGTTCGCCAGATCCATTCTTCGCGGCATACACGAGTTTCAGTTCGCTGTTGGCTTCCTCGGCCTTACCAAGCAGATTGAGACTGGCCAAAAATCTGAGCCTCCTGTTTATCTTAACCTCTCCATGAAAGAAGTCGGCATGGACCTGCTTCGTTTAGACCCTCGCAGCCCTGCACATCGCATGTACTTCTCCCCCAATGACATTGCACATCAGGCTCTTGTTGCTGCCATATCCATATCTGTCGGCATCGACAATGCTGACGGTCAGTGCGATCGTCTTCTCTACATTCCCATGGCGACGACTACGCTGAACACAACTCTACCTTCTAAAACTATCCATTTCTCCAATGACAAGGACAGCGCAGAGCGCAATACCAATATTCTATTTGCTAATCTAGTCGTCACGTCCCCATCGCTGGACCTTGACCCTAAACATCTCCCGCTCCTTGTGGCTATTTTCCAAAACCACGAGTCACGTCGAAAGCCGCAAAAAGTGAGGAGTCGCAAACCCTTCTTGTTCCGTCGTCTTCTGCCAAAAGCGAACATCAAAATTTCGATTCATGAGCCCGTCATTCGAGTCACTCTTCCACCAATGGACGTCAGTAAGC